TCTGGGGCAATTGCCCAACCACACACATGTGCCAGAGTGCAGAGAGGCCAAAGGGGCAAGAAGATAGTGCCTACTCCCCCGATCTCAATCCCCTTATGGCCCACAGAGGCCTGAAAGTCATGCAGGGTATAAAACAAACTTTCTGGTAGGTGAGGACAATAGGGAAGACAAAAGTTCACTTAGACATGGGCGCTCTGCCAAGTGGGACAACAAGCCCATTCCTGAGAGAAGAGTGGTGCCCAGTTAGGGCTATTTTAACATGAAAAGGCTGCAGAAGTGTGTATAGTTAATGAGTGCCCTCTTTCCATCCCCGGGCCCAAAGAGAAGCATTAAAAATATAGCATACTTCCTGAAATTTTCCAGCATGAAGAAAAAAATGTACAAAATAGTGAAAATGAATGAAATATATGAAGCAGTAGACAGATCCTGAATATGCCCTGCACCTTCATGGGCATCTTTCCACTGCAGCAAAAGGCCAACTCGGGTCTTTGTGTGTTTACCCACATTATGACTGCTGTGATTTAGTTAACCTTATTTACAAATGTTTACCCTGAACACAAGGCTGCAATGAATACCACTGCTTTCTACATGCTTCTGTGATCCTCACTTTACAGGAGAGAAACTGAGACTGAAGAAAGTAGCATCCTTCATCTCTCAGAAGTGGCAGGACCAGATTCACAGCCAGGCTGGTCTGTTTCTTTCCTACCGCACAATTCTGAGTTAAAAGAAGCTCCCAAAGCACTGAGACTCAGTAGAGGATGAGTATGGTCAACACCCCTGAGTAAGTAACCCCCTTTTCAGAGTACTCATTCAGTTAGCAAGCATGCTCGCTAACTGAAGACGGAACAGAACATGTCATGGGAAACCTCCCATAGGAGAGAGGTCCTTTGGGGTGTGTCTTGTGTGTCTGTGTTGTATGTATCCATTTTCCCTTTAACTTGAGCAAAGTGTCTGTAGAGCATCATGTCACCATACAGTATTTGATATTAGAACATAATTTCCTGTTCCATCATTGCAAGATAATACTATGCTATTACTTCTCCAGACAAACAGAGAAACCTCATCAGCAGCGTCCTGCCTTTACTTGAGACTCTTCTATACCCACAACTGACCATTCTGTGTGTGGTGACCCATGCAGCTCTGCCCAGAGTTACTGATGCAGAGTAAAGGAGGATTCCCTTGACTTTTTATTATTGTCTTGAATTTCAGAGACATATCCATGCAGATGTCATGTTACCCCTTTACTGATTTTTTCACTGGTTATTTTACAAGTCGGATTCTTTTCTATGACAAATAATACTGCTGTAAACATTGTCTGCTTGTATATATATAATACACACACTGAAATACACATACCTAGTGCATGACACAGGTAGGAATATATATTTGTATGTAGTCATTAATTTCTCTGGGATATGTTCCTTATCAGGAAACCCTGGGCCACAGAATCATATACCAGGTTATACTAATATTTCCAAATTATCTCCAACATTTTTATACTAACATACCTTTTCAATGGAAAAATAACAGTTTCTCACCAAATCTGGGTATTTTAACTTGATGATTATAAAATCATATTTCAACAAAGTACTCATATACAGTTTTTTGATAACTAGTGATCAGGGTATTTGTTCACATTTGTATTGAACATTTAGGATTATTTCTTCTATAATCCACATTTTATTTCTTTTGTGACTTTTTTGCATTACATTGATTTACATAAATCATTTGTTAGTATTGAATACTAATCCTGGGCATTTTTATGTGTGGGTAACAAATCTAGTTAATGTCCAATCTTTGATGTTTTATAATGTTCCTTTTATTTTTTCAGATAGTTGAATTTTCAATTTTAAGGATTTGGACTTTTAAAATTGTCTAAATTTATTCCACAGAGCTAAGAAATACATATTCAGTAATGTTTTATTCTTAAAGCTTTAAAATTAAAATCTATAGTTAAATTTGTAACAAAGTTTCATAAAATATGAAGAATTCAATGTCATTTTCTCATATGTATAAGCTTTTATACTAGCAGAGTATATCATCCACTTTACACTCATGAATCTGCTAATGTCTTCATAGCTCGAGTTTCCACAGATGCATTATTCCATTTAAGATTTCATTTTCTGAGACTTTAATCTATCCCCAAGCCATCTCACTGCATTATCACATTTACTTCTGAGATCAGGTAGAAGTGTGCTTCTCACTGCATTTTCCTTTCAATTTTTATAAAAGGTTGTCAAGTTATAACAAAATTTCTCAAATGTTTGCTTAGAGTTATGTACAATTTTCAAACTAATAGGATGGCATGCAATGATTACAATATTGAGCTTTCATTCATAAACTGGTCTAGGCACTGGTCTTCCTGCCTTAAGCAAAGTTTTATTTCTCTGTGAGATTTTCATTTGCATACTTTGTATTTATTGTTATTTTAAATATTTGTTTAAACAGTATTTTTTTCTCTAGTAAAAAGAATTGTACTGCCTTTGTATGTTAGGTTAATATTCAGTGGCTTAAAAACCTCACTCAGAATTTATCTAACCCCTCCCTAAGATTTTCTACACAAATAATTTCAGCAAACAAAAATAATTATCTATGCTGTTTCCCTTTATGATCACCATAATTTTTTTGCATGCCCTTTTTTCCTGACAAAAACTTCAGAAAAAATTTGAGTAGATCCAGCCATGACAGTTTTCTGGTCTTAATACTTCTTTCCTAGGCACTGCAGCTCAAGACTGAATAGAAATGATGGTGGAATGAAGGGTCCACCAGCTTATTTTTCTGAGAAGATCCAAGGCTTTTCTCCTTTAATCTTCTAAGCTAGTAAAACAGATTTTTGGATGTTTAGAAGTTCTTTTCATTGCAGGGTAAATACAACCCAGTTTTTTTTTCCAGCACCAGGGATCAAACTCATGACCACCTGCTTGCAAGGCAGGTGTTTATGCCGCTGAGCTAAATCCCCAGCCCAACAACCCAGTCTTGATTGTTGATAGGAAATGTTTGCTCTTAGAATCTAGTGTTTCTTTCCTGCACAAGGATGTCAGTTCAAACTCAGGCCTCTCCTCTCTGTGTCATGTACTCCATTCAAGGCGAGGCATTATGTGCATGGCTGGTAGTGGAAGAGGAACACTCCAGTGTGCTCTGCTCACCCACATCCTCTTAAGAATATTGCTCCTGCTGAAACTCAGGCCTCTGTTGGCCAAAAGAGCTCCCTGCATGTGGGACAGATGCAGCCAGACACTGAGGCCTAGCCTGGACCCATCAGCTAGCCTAGGGCATCCTTGGAAGGGATAGCTCATATGAAATGCCCCAAGCCCTCCTCCAGATGTCCAATGGTGACATTATGAACTACACACATTGCTCTCCTTTTATCTTGTCTGGATAAAACCCTAAGAAAGGAAGAGAATGGTTATTTGCTGAAACCTCTTTTGAACTCCATAATAACTTGTGAAATGCAAGACTATGTTCTTTTAACAAGCCTAAATTTGATTAAAGAATATGTGTTTTTAGGATGTTTCCCTGTATATACATGAATGAGTGGCTTTCCAATTTTTCTTTCTCACACTTTGGTTTTACAAAGGTGATATTTGTCTCTTGAACTGTTTTGAAGCATGCCCATTTTGAGATTAAGTAGTAAAATATTAGAATCAGTAGCACCATAAATGTTTGGCAAGCATTGCCTGTAACATAACAGATCGGCTGACTTTGACAGTAGATTTTAAAATAGCAAGCCAAATACTCAATACGTTAACAATACTTAAACATTTTACATGAGTCTAAACATACAGTTGTATTTATAAATGTAAAAATATACACAGTATGCTTTCAAAAAATAAATGTTGAAGACATAAAATAATATTTCTCAAATTATATTTATGGTACAAACTATGCTGATTCAACAAATGTCATGTATCAGCATCCCAATATAAGAAATAACTAATTTTATTATGGAAATTGATTCTAGGCATGGAAACAAGCTTGAGAACAAATTTATTTTACTGAGTTTTTAAAAAGTGAATCCATTAGACAAGAATGATAAATTATTGATTCAGGTTTCATTATTTTCACAACAAAAGATAAAACTGGCAAATTGAATGGAGGACACAATGTGAGAAAAGTTTGGTCAAGTTAAAACATATTAAGAAATTCAAAAACAGATAAGCAAAAAGTATCCATAAATGAACTCAGTTGAAACATTATCATATTACAAACAGCATTTAGGAAAATGCGAAAATGTAAGACAATGATCAAATTATTTCATACTCAGAAAAAAATAACGACACCATTATAAAAGGCAAATAATGAAAGATGGACCATGGCTAGTGCACCCTGATCACATGAGGTCTCATGAGTGGTGATCCACCCTCACTCAGCATGTTTGTGGTTGATGAGATACAAAACAGGAGGTCACATTGCACATTTACAACTAGAAGGGATTTTGACAATGCTGGGAACAATTTATTGCTTGGTATAAAATTTTATCTGCAATACATTGAAGTTATTAACAAGAAAATGACCTGCTGCCTTAGATACTTTGATCAATACCTTGAAAACTGGCTGTATGAGCTTCAGTCCTTGACACAGAACAGCTGGGAAGGAGAGAGAGAGTACTTGAGAATAAAGAGATAAGTTAGAGCAAGATGACATAGACATACATGGTTGGTTAAGGTTAGCTTCTACTTGGATAACTAGCATTATAATTAAATTACATAAAGCACAAATGAAAGTATTACTCACAGTACAATCTATTTCTATAATGAATGCACTTATGAAATGACAGTAACTAAAAACAATGGTGCTGTTCAATGTTAATTTCTCCAAAATACAAATGGAAATATTTAATTTGAAAACAAAGTTTTAGCCTTCAAAATCAAAACCAATCACATCACAGTAAATACTATAGAAATCCATATGAAACCTTAAAATTCATAATTAGGGACTGATAATGGTCTTTCTCTGTTCTTTCATTGTAATTTTTAGCTGACATTTATTGCATGCTGAACATGGAACAAAAAAACGGCAGTGGAGTGAATGAATTCATCCTCCTGGGATTTGCTGGTCAGCACAGGTCCTGGCACATCCTTTTCACAGCCTTTCTTGTCATCTATGTGGCCTCCCTGGTGGGCAACACTGGGATGATCCTGCTCATCAAGGCTGACCCCACCCTTCACACACCTATGTACTTTTTCCTCCAACACCTGGCTTTCGTGGACCTCTGTTACTCCTCTGCCATCACTCCCAAGATGCTGCAGAACTTCGTGAGCAGGGACCAGTCCATCTCCTTCACAGGGTGCATAGTGCAGTTACTAGTCTATGGGACATTTGTCACAAGTGACTGCTTCATCCTGGCTTCCATGGCCGTGGACCGCTATGTGGCCATCTGCAAACCCCTGCACTACCTCGTGATCATGTCCAAGAGAGTCTGCATCCAGTTGCTGCATGGTTCGTATGTTATTGGTTTCTTAAACAGTTCTGTAAACACAATTATGACTTTTTCCTTGAACTTTTGCAAATCCAATGTAATTAATCACTTTTTCTGTGATATGCCTCCAATTCTCACTCTATCATGCTCCAGTATTGATGTAAATATCGTGGTTGTGACTGTCTCTGCAGGGTTCTGCTTGATACTCATTGTGTCAGTTGTCATGTTTTCCTACATATGTATCCTGGCCACCATCCTCAGGATGCCTTCAGCCACAGGAAGGAAAAAAGCCTTCTCCACGTGCGCCTCCCACCTGATGGCGGTCACCATCTTCACTGGGACTCTGGCTTACATGTACATATTCCAAGGGAGTAATAGTTCCAAAGAGCAGGAAAAAGTGGCTTCTTTGTTTTATGGAATTATGATTCCCATGTTAAACCCCCTCATCTACAGCCTGAGAAACCAAGATGTGATCACAGCCATGTGACACCTAGGAACCAAATGCTTCTCAGCATGATTTCTCCATCCACAGGGTTCACCCAGAAATCATCAGGGCCCTCATATTCCTCAGTTTCAGAGCATGTAACAAATGCTTTTGACACTAAATGTGACCCTGCATTACCTACATCTGAAAAAAGTTCAAGAAAACATATTAAATGTTCAGACATGAACTCCTTTTATTGTATCTTCATGCAGAGAACAGAAGCCAGGGCTTCACACATGCAGGACAGGAGTCCTAGGTCACAGTGACATCCTGAGCCCAGGACCTTCATGCTGAGCTGCCTCCCCAGCCCTGTTCCTTTTTCCCCTGAGTCATGGACTCACTGTGCCACTATCTTGGCCAGACTGATGAACTTCTTTTTTTTTTTTTAACCATTACTGGTGATCGAACTCATGACCACCTGCTTGCAAGGCAGGTGTTTATGCCACTGAGCTAAATCCCCAGCCCCTAGACTGATGAATTTCTAACTCATTGCTTCTGTTTTATTTTTGAGTTGATGACTGGAAAACATTATAATACAAATTTGCTCATTAAAAACTTAGTTACAAATTACCCTCCCATCTGTATCCACTAGAAGCTATCACAGATAATTCTGTTTCTTTCCTTCACATGAAGACCTTAGCAACTCATCTATGAGTATTCCAAGAAGTAGTACACAGATTGGAAGCATCTTAGAAATTTTAAGTATATTTCAATACATTAATTTTTATGCATGCTTTAAATAGTTTATAAAAATGAGAGACTCTAAACACAAAATATTACCAGCTTCAGCATTTAAGTTTTCTGATTTTAATGTTAGTCTGACATAGCCTTAGAAACCATGCTGCACTGAAACATGTAATGTGCAATCTCAGTCACAGCTGGTTTAATGTACCCCATTTGTCCCAGAGTATTTAGGCTGCTCATTAAGTTAACAAGTATAAGTCTTTTTTTAAATTTTATTTAAAAGGAAAAAGAGAAAAACACAAAACAAAACAAAGCAGTGTAAGGGTACAAGTAATACAGAACTACAAAAAAAAAAAAAAGAAACAGTAAGAAATCACCAGTTAATAGATTACATATTATCATCTTAGAGATAGTTGCTCAAATCACAGTATCAAAGCATACAAAGTGGACATTCAAACAGTGAGACTGCAAACAGTTGTGTTCAATGATCCAACCAAAAACATTAATATGGTCAGCTATTTAACACTCCTAAACACTCTTGCTGTTGTATCCTTTAGAGCTCTTCTTTTCCCTCTCTTTTTTACAACAAAATCCACACATTTTGGGTTTTATTACTCCTTAGTTCTTATTACTTTCTGGGGGAGGGGAGTGAATAAAGTCAAATATGGCAAAACAAAGCTGTCAGTCAAAACCAAGGATAGACATAGCACATGATGTAAAACAGAGTACAAGGTCATCAACAATGGTTATCAACAATGTCTCTTGTTTCCTTAAAAAGAATTGTCTATCTCATTAGATATTATAAAGTTGAACAAAACAGTAGAGAACAAGACCAATAAAACAAGCATTGTAAACCTTACAGGACTTCCAAAGGAGACAATAGTCAAACCAGAATGGGCATCTTAGTGAATCTTATTGGCTTCAAAGTAGTTGCCTATACCCTCAAACTTGATACTATCATACAGAATGGAACAGAGTCTAATCAGTCAAAACAAGATCGTGGGAGTATTACAGGACTTCAAAACAAGTTAATAGGAAATCAAAAAAAGTTACTATTATATATCCTGCTAATTTTTTAAATTTTTCCCCTTAATTAAAAAAACCATAAAAAAATAACTAAATAATTTTTTAATGAATAAGGGAGAGATTGAGATAAAAGAGGACATAACAATATAACAATACAGGTCAAAGCATGACTGTTTCAGCAACCTAGTGCTTCACCGCCAAATAACCCAACTTAATAGTAGTTACCATAGTGTCTGTCTTTTTCCTTGAAATATTTGAATAAAACTTCAGATACTATAGCTTCAAATATTTCCATATCAAGAAGCCCAGAATAAAGCCTTTCCAATTAATAAGTGAAAACTTTATAAGGCTTCAAGGCCACATAATCAGGAATCATGATTACCACATAAGACTACTGTGTCTTTTAAATCCTTATACACCATTAACAATGACCTCTGCCTTTTTTTATAGAGTTTCAGGGCTGTCTATACTAAAGACTATAGCTTACCGTCTCTGCCTCATGTCTGCTACTCCACTTTTCTGCTATAATTTGTCCACCTTATTCCCTCATTCCACTGTCTGCCCCGTTCACTGAGGCCTCTCTGCCACTGTTGCTGGAATCCTGGTATCTCTTCCTCTCTTTCTCTGTAATGTCCTTCAGCACTCTCTGTAGGGTTGGATTGGTGGCCACGAACTCCCACAGTTCCTCCTTGTCTTGAAAGTATCTTATTTCTCCACTAATTTTGAGAGAGAGTTTTGACAGGTATATGAGCTTCGGTTGCATATTATTTTATTTCAGGACTTGGAGTATTTCTCCCCACTCCCTTCTTGACTTAAGAGTTTGTGTTGATAAGTCTGCTGTTATTTTGATAGTTTTCCCATTGTAGGTAATCTGCATCTTTTCTCTGGCTGCTTTTAATATTCTGTTCTTTTAGTGGATTTCTGGAATCTTGATTATTATATGTCTAGGCATAGATCTGTTTTGGTTGTAGGTAGCTGGTGTTCTGTATGCCTCTTTTATCTGTATATCATTTCTTTTTGCTATACATGGGAAATTTTGCTTTAATATATCTGTGAATATTCTTTGTATTTCATTTTTGGTTGCTCCTGCTTCCTCACTCACATTCTTTATTCTTAGGTTATGTATCTTTTTGTCATCTTCTAGTTTTTGAATTGCTTCTTTCTGGTTCCTTGTTATTTTTAAGAGGCTTTTTCTTTCACGATCATATGCCATAAATCTCTCTTCAAGTTTCAGAAGGCTGTCTTTAGTTTCTGTCAAGGCATTTTGCCAGTGTTCAATGGAGTTTTTAGTTTCCTGATATTCTCTTTGGATCTGTTTCATGTATTCTAAGTTATGTTTAAATTCTTCTTCAGATGCTTCTCTTTCTTTTATGATTTCCTCAGTTCTTCCATCTGTGTTCTCTTGGGCAGGGCTTGTCATTTCTTTAATTAATCTCTTTATATCTCACCTCACTTGGATCAGGAGTACAGCTTTAAATTCTTCTATGAGATCATGTAGGTACTTTTTAATTTCGGCTGATGCTGTGTGGAGCAATGGATGATTACTGTGCTTGTTCTCTTTAGTGTTTAGTTCTCCTGGGCTTATTTTCTCCTGTTGGGCAGCTGGAGATTTTTTTTAATTTTTATCTCTTGTCATGTTTCTGGTTTTTTCCAGACTGTCCTGGGGTTCTCTGGCCCTCTCTGAATTGCTTAGGGCCTTTCAGAAGCATGCTGACTTGAGTTTTTGCTGTCCTCCCCAATTTGCTGTTATCTGGGGTAGGCTGGGATGCAGGGGAGGTACAGGCTAGTCTCCAGCCTCTGCGCCAGTCAATCCGTAAATTAGGCTGTACTTTCTGGATGTCACTGAGTTGTGACTATTTTGTATCTGCTTATTGGGCCCCAAGCAGAGGCTTGGTTTAGCCCCAGTAGCTCCTGCCGGTTCTCTTTGTACCAGAAGCAGCTGACTAATATCACTATGGCACAGGGTTCTGCCCAAATTCCAACTGTTCTCTTCCAGACCTCTCTGTGACAGGAGCACCAGAACAGCAGATCTGCCCAAGTCCAAGATGTCTCCCACTAGTTCTCTGTATGACTCTGAAGCCAGCACATACTCAGGGTCTGCCCAATTTCAAGATGTCTTCCACCAGCCCTCCCTACAGGGGGACTCAGTGATGCCACGGAGCTGTAGGTTCTGCCCAACTCTAAGATGGCTGCCACCAGACTCTGCGTTATTGATGTCCCCGTGGTGGCGGGCACTGCCCAGTTCCAAGATGTTCTCTGGCCGACCCCAGCAGCCGCGGGGTCTCCAGTACTCACCAGGGTCCAGCACAGGTCCTCTTCCCGGGTCCACCGCACACCACACCACCCACCTTTCCCACACTCCCGGCACAGCGCGGAACAGTCAGAAATCTGCTCAGCGTTCAGCTTTGGTGTTCTAGAGCCTTTCACGATCTCCTCTGGTGCAGCGGGGCAGTCCTGGCTGCTTCTTGGGGTCCCACGTCTCAGTTTCCAGCAGTCACCAAAAGCCAACGCAGCTTTTCCTGTTGAGTCCACGGGTCAGTTTGTTGATTTAAAGGCGCGGGATTTGCAGCCTCCCATTATCAGCCTTCACAGTCTCAGTATGACTTTAAATCCTCCAGCTGCACTGTCTTGGTTAATAAGAATCATTATCCATTTGTCTGGCCCTCTCCATGTTGTCATATTCTAGCTTCTAATATGATTTCTCCAGAGAGACTCTTCGCCCGATCCCCTAGCAAGCCACCATTTTCTCCTGAATTAAGTATAAGTCTTTAAACATAATCATCTATAGGCAGCTGGTTGCATAAATTGCTGTTTTGCAAAATACAAACATCCACAAAATTTACACTAAAAGGCAGACATTCTAATACCAAAAGACATGGCTGAAAATATGGGCACACTGTAAAACATTAAGACAATTCTGTTAACCACAATAGTTCCACAGTACGACTGAGTTATACGAGCCTACTTCAAAAGCTAAACAATAAAATAATCAGTATAGTGCATGCCTGATTCAACACAGATCCCAGGAAGTGACCAGTCACTGGACTGCAGACCTCTTCCTGCTAGCCATCATTGTTCTTATTTCTAAAATCAATTACTGCACCCTCTATAAATGACAGCTCATCAGCTTTGTCTTTTTTACAATCATATATTGTAACAGTATTCTCAATATAATTCTTGGGGGCCCAGGTAGGATCCTCAACTGCATAGGGATCATTATACTGAGCTGCTCCAGCTTTCTCATGTTATAGTGCCTAGGGGAAGGGCAGGAGAGGTGCAGTAGAGTCATCAGA